TCTCTTTCTCTCGTCTGCATTATTATTAATTGTTGGCGCCACAAACAAGCAGGCGTGCACAGTCCAACCCACTGGCGTTTGTTTTCTCCCTTCCCTGTCTCTAATTATGCTCCTTAAAGTCATTGTCATTGTCGTCGTCGACTTCAAATTGGGAGAGGTTTGATGAGAGAATAGGCCTCTAATTGCCCCGGTACACAAGAGATTAATTGTCTAACTTATGCACCACTATCCAACCTCTGTCCCTTTCTATCGCCGTGTTACGGACCACGCAGCTTGGTAATAATTTAGCTTTCATTCACGCACCTGGAAACGCATGCAAAATTGGGAACAAATGAATTTTTGTGAACACATCCCAATGAAGATTGCTTAAAAGATGTTCCGATTTCGATGAATCGATTAAGGAAAATCAAGAAAGGAAGACGTTAACTTCTTCACAAAATTCCTCATTCAAAGTGCCAAATAAGCACGACAATATTCTCCTCTTCCTAGACTAATCATGAAGCATGAATAAGCGTCAAGCCTTTTCATGTTAAGCTTCTGATTGGTGAGTTCTACATTTACCGGCCCTTTAGTAAAATTAAATTTATTTAATTCATGTGTTTTATGAGGACCTTCAAATAGTGTCACCCCAGTAATTAACATTCTTCCACAAGTATGTCTTTTTGGTGTTTTTATGGAAGACTGTGTTACAACATTGGTGGCCGTGATGAAGAGAAAAAAGCCTGCTCGCAGTCTGAATACAGCATCTTGATCACGAATAGGCGCAAAATCTATGTAGGCTTACAAAAAAGGGCTATCAGGGCCATGTAGATTCTTGGTAATCAGTTTAACAACCAGAATTGATGAAAAGAGATAGTCAAGTTTGAATGGTTACATATGTCTATTTTAGAGATCACAATACTTTAATTGTTTGTTTAATTCTCGGTTTTGGAAATGGTTAACTTGGAGACGTCGCAATTATGCCCTTCGTAATACCTATTCTACCCAAGTTTTATGTTCCCATTCATCTTCAAGGAAGTCTCAAAGCGCTGCATTGGTGGTAGCGGAAGGTGAAACCTATAATAAAGGAATGCAATCCTAATTTCAGCATCTGACTGATAAAGCTTAGCTCGACGGAAGAAGTGTATATGCTGAGGATAAGAAAGTATTGGTCGAAACCTAGCAGAAGGTATTAAAATGACGTCTACCTTCTGTAGCTACTTCAGTCCGGTGGTCTGCAGGAATGAAAAGTTTAATACGGAGCTGTCTGCAGTTCCTTTGGAAGAATGTAAACTAAATGAACACCCCCGATACTTTCACTGCCTCTCTACTAGTTGGGTGGAACCTGGATAGATGTGGCTGAGCAGTATTGAGGCGAAACAGACGCCTTCCTTATCTCCAGGAGACCCCCTTAAATCCCCTCCTTTACTAAATGACTCAGCTTTTAGGTCATTAATCCTACGATTAGTGATAAACCTACGTCATAACTAACACATTCCACCTCCCTTTCGAAACAGGACGAAACGCTAGATTCTCTAGAATTACCAAGTGGTATCAGTGACGTTGTGGTCAAGTAGCTTCTCATAGATATGAAAACTCAAGGAATAGCGCGGTTGTCTTAAGTGTTTTTCTAGCAGCACCGACCATGTTGTAATAGCTGACGTGGAATGTTGACCATGGGGACCATCGAGAATGACACTCGAAAGAGCAGAGGGACTATATTTTAATTTGATCGCCTAACTCCCGGGTTTGGTGACAGGCCAATTAGGGGCTCCGTTTTTGTAAGTCCGCTAGGCAGCTTGATCTTTTGGCAGCACTTGTATCCTCCGGTCCTCATGTTCGTCGACAGTACATATTCTGCTCAAGTATTGTGTCCTCTTTCGTACTCAGGAAAGTCTTAGAGCCCAAAAAAATTTGTGCAAAGATATCTAAGTTATGGAAAAATAACACCTTCCCAAAGCTCTCAGTCGCCAAGAAAAACTGGAGAAATTGACAAAACTTAAATTGAAAAAAGGTGTTTTGAAGGAACGAATTAACCTAATTTGATGAAACTAGATTAATTTGTGTTTTAGAAGGTGGCTTTGGTTCAGGAATATATTCTTATGCATATCGGTTGACGCACGGAATGTCACCGGCCTTAAGCATTACAAATTTGGTGAGTTCTTACCATGTGATTACCCAAGAGTACATAACTCTAGACCCACCAAAATTTGCAAGATACACCACCGACCCTGGAGTCAACTGTCTCCTCATACTGATAGAACATCAATGTATGTACCTTGTTCCCTCTTCATGGATGATTCTATCTCAACTGACAACGTGGTAGACACCACCAAAGGGTGATTAAAGAGGGGAGTTATGTATTGTGTTGTGTAACTAAGTTGGCTTCCTATCCTCTGCGATTTCGGTAACCATTTTGGTATCACTTTATCTTAGTAACCAGCCAGCTTTTCTTTACACTTTTTTGAGGAGGCTGCAAGGTTTACCGCACCGGTCTCCAACTTTTTATTTCTTCACATTTGGGACTACAGAGAGTTTTGATTCTTGAGTCAAAACATGAACTACTACCTTCCCAAAAGCCACCTCAGTTTGAGTTCTGTGCGACACATTAGCTTTAAGAAACGTCAGATAATCCTGACTAACTTACCTGAGGACTTTTTAGAAAAAAACATCAGACTTATAAATTTTCACTCAACATCTATTACTAGACGTGAGTTACAGGCTTTTAATTCGCCATAGTAACGCTAAACTCATATGAACACCAAAATAAATCAATGGTTTTAGCTCCAATGTTGAAGTTGGGGTATTTGTGTAGCCCGTCGAGGCTTCTCTGAAGACGAAAAAGACATGATACTCGGGCAGAATATGCATTGGCGAACTACAGAAGGGCTCGGGGATAGCTGCTTAGGCCGAAGGTCTAGCTGCCCAGCGAAGGTATAACAGTTAAGCAAACAGTTGAAGTAGTCTATTCGGTTCACTAAATTTTAATACACAGAGCTGATTAATCAGCCTCGGTGATTTGATTTAAGGGTTTGTTCTACCCCTAATCGCTAAATCCACAACGTTTTAGAGAGCAATATTTCTGCACTTTAAGTGGGGAAACATGCATCTTATGTACCTCAAATTGCGAGTAAACGCCGAATCCTGTGGCTCAGACTGAAAGTCCGCCTTATTTTGCATGTCTGATGGTGCTAAACCGACTGAGGATTTGAATCCTTCTAAAAAAAGGGGAACTTGTAAATTGTAAATGAGGGAACAATATTTGATTACATGTAGTTATTAATTCGCTGATGAAATAGTTAAACTCAAGTTCTCCGTCTTCTAGCAACTTATTTATTTGAGACAATCCGGAAATCAGTTTTCAAGCATTTATTTCGTGGACAGCAAGGTCTCTCATTCCTTTATAAAACAAAGCTATTAAATGCTATGCAAATCTTCTCTCCAGATGTGTAATACGGAGAAATATGCACCCCGAATTTTTGCATCTTAATTGCGTTTACCAGGTCGGATTCATCAAACCACCTGCTTGTATATCAATTTGTGGGATTTCCTCCCTAACTGAGAACCCATCTTTTATTATGAGAAAAGTTTATTTTTAAAATGAAAGTTTATTTACTAAATGTGCAGGTGTCTTGAGCTAGGACGCACAAAAAAATAAAAACAGATGTCATTTATTTTCGGAAAAATAAGGTACATGTACTGTAAAATGGAAAGAATCTGTCTGCCTCCATTAAAAGGCAATTTGTAATAAAATTAATAAATGAAAACTTGTCTAACTCAAAAGTAATTTTTCAATCCCGGGCGTGATCCATCTATGGAATAGTCTTTCGACGGTAGGATAGTATTATAAGTTTAAAATTGGTTAAGAAAGAAATTGGTTAAGCAAATCTTGCCCAGGCGATAGGTTTGCTTTAGCTGAGGTGGATGCAACAGACTATAAGGGATCTGAGCTTTCGATCCCCCACGTTTACTATCAAGAGATGTGTTGCCATAGAGTTACCACACCCAATACCAATTCAGACCTCATGCTACCCATAACATCCTACCCAGTCCATCTATTGTGAGGCAAGATAGCGGATAAGAGTGGCACTTTATACACGCAGCAGGGTGTGGTGTAGTACAAAGTACCTTCGCTGTAGAGGAAGGTATACAGCCCATACCCGTAGGCGTTCACTCGCCCAGGGGACTTTTGGTACAAGATAGAAAGTTGAAGAGAGTTCCAGTCTCCTAGTCGTTCTGTATTAAAACATTGCAATTGTGCGAACGTTTCGAAGGCAGTCGTTTATCCGTCTATCAGTGAGGCTGCCGAGGGTGGTAACGGTTGCCAGGCCTCAACACTGCAGTCATTGTCTTGCATTTTTGGTACCTAATGAGCCCAACCTCCTACGTCTGATAAATGATAAAATGCGATAAGGTTGCACAAGGGACGTATCTTTCTGCGGCATAGGTGACCGCAATCATTCCTTAACATTTCCCTTACGCTGAGTGCCAAAAGGATTTTCACCTTTTGACAATCACAGGAGGGCTGTATTCCAACTGATTTGAAGTGATGTTTCTTTACTGAGACAGCAGAATCTTCCGAATCGAATTGCTGCAGTTGGCCGAACCTGTGCATAGTGTATCAGCGTGTGGCAACACATGGGAAGGATTTGGATTTCCTAGGTACCGTGTAGATACTAGGGAATAATTCCATACATGTGACGGAATACCATGCAAAAAAAACAAGTGTAGACTCCATTTTTTAAAGAGTTTCCTTGACTGTAAGCCTCGATTAGACTTGAACTTCTATTATAAGTATTAAAATTGTCAAGAACTCGTTGATTGACGTTATTGAAGCCATCATAGTGCACCGGTATTAAGGCAACTTGATTGGCTTATGTGTTAATCAAGGTTGATAATCGTCTCTAAACTTTATTTCTTTCGAGAGGCAGATTTTAAAATTAAGCCAAAATTGCATAACATTATGAGGGCGGAAATAGACATCCCTCAAGGCACACATTTAATCCTAAATTTGTGCAGCTCTAAATGTGGGTTAAAATCCGTGGAAGTGAAAGGAGATATTTAAGAGCTCCTGAAAAGAGGGCTTGTAGAGGAGCTGTTAGCGCGATGATGTTATCATCAAAGTGTGGTGCAGTCAGCAAACGCGAGGCATTCGGTCTATTAATTGTGGAATAACGCATTAGAGGAGGAGGAGGAGGAGGCGAGAAGAGGGGTAAAAAAAGCTCCCCTCACCCTCCACTACCACCACCCCCACCAAACCCGCACCCCATCGGAATCTTTCACTGTGGTTTTGGCAGCATTTTCACACCTCTCTCACCCTACTCCATTCCGCTTCTGTCTCGCTCTCCCTCTACGCCTAATGCACGGCATTCCGCAATGATAAGATTTCTGTTGCAGTCGCCGTTCGACACATATGTATGTGGGTATGTATGTGTGTGTGCGGGAGTGAGTGAATTAGTAAAAGCCTCAATTACAAATCGCATG